TGTCGCAATAATGATTATTGCCTTCGACCCGGCAGGGGCGTATTTAGACTTACTCCTAGGGGGGTGGGTGACTCCCAGATGAGCGTTTGGTAATATTTAAATCTGATGAATCCTTAATACTTGTGGTTTTTTTTTTTTTTTTTTAATCAAAATTCAACTTATGGAATAATTACTTCTAATGCACGTCGACGTTTTCGCCGACACCTCCACCAATCGTCTCCTAGTTCGCGACGAATTTACAATCTTATGAATTACGCGAAATCATGGACAAACGAACGCTCAACGCGTCATATAAATATGCGTGGATACGTGTACCTTGCGATTAAAATCGTCACGATAAATACAAACTGGATTACGTGATTCCTGAGGCACCGTTTGGGAAGCGGCATCCCCATTGCGAATTTTATCCACGATCGATCACAGGTGTGTATTGATTTTTCGAACGTTAATCTTGACCTTTTGGATTAATGGATTATATGGGATTTGTGAAGGTTCACAACCGCATTGCGTATTGTCAACGAAAATTTCAAACGTGTAACGTAATTATTGTATAATGATGTGAAAACGTACGAGTATTATTTCAGGAGAAAGAAAAATTATTCAACAGTTTGCCTGGTGGGAAAGGAGTGGAAAAATTTTTTCACCCCCTTATAAAATACTGAAATTGCTTTGCTGAATGACGAAACCTCGTCCGCGAGTTGCACGGCACGTGTCTTCACGATAAAAATAGGAAAATATATATCAAATCAGTTGACGATTACAAGGCGTCGGGGGTGGACGTATAAAAATAATATAATTGACGTCTAGTGTATATTTGTAAATGATAAAAGTGACCGTAAACCGAAAACATTGTTTAGATGAAAATAACGCAAATTGTATACAGATCAAGCCGATGCGCACAGCAAACGACATCGTTTTCGTTCTATATTTTTTAATCTGCACTCACGTGTTCGATCTGAAAATTAATACTCTTATTTTGACTTCTACCATACGTTTATTTGGGTACGTATGATGATTTGATATAGCTATAGTGGCAGAAGGACATTTTCTTTTGTTGTCGAACATTCAATGGAATAAATAAGTCTGCGTAAATAAAGCACTACTACAGTACACCATAAGTCTATATTTATACGCGCGAAGCACACACGGCTGATTTGCAGAATAAATGCAATTTAAAAACATGCGACTCGGATAGAATCATAATTCTTAGTGTTTTTCTAACGTTTTCCTCTTTTTTAAATTTTTATTCCCCTCCCCAATATATACAAATAGTCGTTAAGATTTCAAATTTATGTTCGTGCACTTTACTCGTACAACCGTTCCACGATTCCAATAGTTATGGGTAAGGACTTTTAGGAGCTTGTACGTTTTTCAATAATCTTTCGAAACACATCTAAGTCTTGTATAAATTTGTTTCATAGTACTGGGAGTAATAAATAATCATTTTTACTTTACATATTTTGCATGTTGAGCTTTTTTTCCCCTATAAGTGCATATTTCGTTATATTTGAATTTGAATATTTTAATACATATTTTATTTAAAAATAAATTTAAAACAGTAAGTTACGTAGAAAATAATACATTACACATACTAGATATTTTACTCATACAATATTTTTATATGCAATTTTTAGAAATTGTAAAAAAAAAAATAATTAAATTGATTAAATTTAAGTTATTAAATAATCCATCTACCGTGTGTTTTTCCAGTTATTTATGTGTTGTGAAAAATACAAAATCAATCCATAAAAGATACGTCGAATTCCATCACTTCATGCCAATTATTTTGTTCATATCATGCGGTCTTCGCCTTACACTAATATAGTTAGTATAATATTATAATAGATTATAATTATTAGATACTTATAGATATAATGTAGGTAAGGTTTTTTTTTGTGAAATTTTAATTTAAAACACCTAAACTAAAAACAAATATATAAATTTGCTTATGTTCAAGAAATCAATTTAGTTCGGTATTTTTAATTGATCAATCAAAACTATTTAATAAACTATGTGAAATTGAAGCTATTGCTGAAAAATGTTTTACTGTTTCGCGACATCTTGAAATCGGAAAATATATCAAGTCAGTTAACCGAATTGATAAGCCATAAAAAAGTCAACAGCTTGAATGTAATCCACCAACCAAAAAATGTCAGTTCAACAAAGATTTATGTGAAACCATATTATTTTTTAATAACGTGTGATCGAGAAGTCGCGCACATCAAAATGAATGTGTTTGTTAATAGTATTTTTATTGAATTACTTTTACTTTTATTTATAAACACAAATACAAAAATATTCCAAATTAATTTATAAATATTCATTTAACATGTTTTATAACATATACTCAAAATGGCTGCCTTGTTCATTAATGCATGCACGAACCCGTTTTACCACGTTTGTGGCCACTTTGTGCAATACGCTCACATTGATTAAGTTTATCTCCGTTGTTATGTTACTCTTCAATTCATCCAATGTTTGTGGTCTATTTTTATAAACCCTTCCTTTAAGATAACCCCATAGGAAGAAATCTGGAGGTGTTAAGTCGGGAGAACGGGGAGGCCATAATCCTTTGGATATGATGCGCTCGCCAAAAAACTCGCGTAAAAAATTCATTGTTCTATTGGATGTATGACATGTGGCATTATCTTGTTGCAACCAACAATCTCCTTCATCGATTTCAAGCAACGAAATAAATTGTGTTATAATGTCTTGGTATACAACACTGTTCACTGTTGTTTCAAAGAAAATAGGGCCCACTATTCGACGACGTGATATGGCACACCAAACTCCAATTTTCTGACTGTGCAAAGGGGTTTCGTGAAGGGCATGCGGATTTTCGGTGGACCAAATTCTAGAATTTTGACTATTCACATATCCACTCAGATGAAACCATGCCTCGTCACTGAAAAAAACACGGTCAAGTTCTCCAATTCCATTGCTATCGATAAATGAACGAAACCATCTACAGTACAAAAGGCGCTTTTCTTTATCAGGTTCTTTTAATTCATGAACACTACGAACATGATATGCATGAAATTTTAATTTCTTCATCGCTTTTTGAGCACTACCATATGAAATTTGTGAGTGTGCTGATAGTCTTCTCAAGCTTTTTGATGGTGAACGCAGCATCACATTTCTTACCTCGGCTAGTTTAGCGTCAGTCAAAACGGTAGGTCTCCCGGTTCTCTTCTTGTCTGAAACTGATCCGGTTTCACGGAAACGGGCGATTAATCTCGTTATGGTTGAATTGTTAGGTACTGCTATATTCGGATATTTCACTCGAAATTCATCAACTACACAAGCATAAGAACGGCTAGCAAAATAATGTTCAACAATAAACACACGTTGGTCTTGGGAAAACGACATGTTCACAGAGAAATAATCAAAGCACTACTAAAAGCGTCGTATCAAAAATACATATAATAATGACGTCTAGATTAAATGTCGAGAATACCCATAGTGTTATTTTGAAATAACCGATAAAATTTATTTATCACAACTACTATTTAGAAACATTTCTATTTTGGTGTGCGCGACTTTCCGATCACACGTTATTACATCGTTAAAAATAGAAAACGTAGAGCATTTTTATAAGAGTATACAGGAAAAGAAATTTCGAAAGAGGTCACTTTTCGTGGAGACTATGTAGATAAATGTTATCCATAGGAGCTCTATCCGAGCTGGATGTTTATGAAATTGCAATTTTTTTTTTTTTTAATCTAAATTAATATAGACCTAGTTACAAATTGAATTCATGTTCTACTGAAACAAATTATACAATTTTTATTTTGTAAATTATTGCATATTTTATAGTCTTAAATTTTAAATGCATATTCTTGGGATTTAAAGAGTATAAATGTATATTTTAGTACATTTTTTGATTTTTTTAAATTAAATTGACGAGCAGTTAAATGATAAATTATCGACTTGTGTAACTGTGTTTCTCCCAAGTATTTTTGAATTCGGGTTTGATCAAATTAAAAAACACTATTATATCACAGTGTAGTTGCTCATATTTTAAATTAGTGTTAAAAAACTATATATATATGTAAAAATAACAATTAATAAAAATTAAATACTTAGAAAACTATAGTAATTTATTAGTTTTTAATACTGATAAAATAATAATAATAATAATAATAAAAGATAAAAAAAATTTTATTCTGCAAATTTTGTAGTTTTTTTTAGCTATAGTTAATATTTCATGTGTTTTTGTACATATTTTGAATGCATTTAGTAATTATCGGGCGAATAAGTGCATATATATTACAGCTATTTTAATTGCATAAAGATTCGAGTCCTAGTTATTGGGATAGTTTTAGAAAAATATGAAATAACGTATCAAATAACAAAAATATGACAAGACGACGCATCCAATGCTATTATTGGAGTTTTATTAACTAACTTTTAGAGTGAAATCGAGAAAAGCAATTCAAGCACTTTTCATGTATAGTATATGCATTTCATCATTTGACCGAAAAAGTATGTTCATATTTTAACACATTTAAATAATATTTAGTGTAAAAAAATTCTTATGAAAGCGTCATTTCAAACTCGTATATAATTTATAAATTAAATTCTTGACATCCCATTGCTACCACGACGGATTTCGACACTTTGGGAAATACGATTACACGCGGATGGTTGTTATTGTGAGCGTTAAGAAGTTAACAAGTATGATGAAAACAATGCGAGAAACATCCAGAAATCTGAAGATATTTTTGACAATCAATATATGTTTTTTTTTTTTTTTTTTTTTATTTAAGCTACCAATATAAAATTATTACAGCTTAACCATTACAGCTAAAGATATGTTAACAACTAATAATACAAGATATAAATAGGCCTAAAAAGAATATATAATGACAAAAAAAAAAAAAAAAAAAAGAAAACAATCAGAGATTAGAAAGTTAACAAACTCAAACCTACAACAACAAAAAAAAAATAAACAAAAGAAAAAAAAAAACAACAAAAAAAACAGATTAAAATCAATATAATCAAATAGAGAATCCAGCATTTTCGAAGAATTTCAAAATAAAAATGATAATGGCTCTTGAAAAATAATTAAGGATAACTGTAAGTTCTAAAGACATAATATTATTATTATGTAAAAAACGAAGCAATTTAGATCGGGAAATGGAGAGTGCTGAACAATCGGCGAGAATGAGTGAGAAGTCGCAGATTGATTCTTCTGCATGACGAGTGCACAACGGGGAGTCGTTCAAGTCGAGGTGGAAGGCATGTGCGGGAAGTAAATTGTGACCAAGCCTGAGCCTGGTGAATCGGACGATTTGGGACCTGTCAAGGGGCTGGTTAATAAACCATGGGTGTTGTGGAATAGTGAGGGTTATGGATCTATACCACTTAGCGAAATCAGGAGCCACTGATGACCATCTATCTTGCCAAGCCTGTTTGTAATTATTTTGTAAAATATTAAAAAGATCCGAGGACGGGATTTTACGCACAGATGGGTTTAAGCTATATTTGGTGGATGAGGCTAGGAGATCAGCAACTTCATTGCCTGAGATTCCCGAATGGCCTGGGACCCACAAGAATTCGATTATTATATCCTGAGAGTATAATTCAAAAAGCGAAGCTTTGATTTTAAGAATAAGGGGAGACGTGGCCGCAGAAATTGAGGTAGAATTAATAGCGCAAAGAGCTGCTTGGAAATCCGAGACAATCAAGCATTTTTTAATGTTTAAAGATTTGATATATCCAAGAGCTGTCGCAATCGCATAGCACTCTGCCGTAAAAGAACAAACAACCTGGGGTAAGGTATCGGAGTATTTGACCATCCGTTCAGGGATAAAGAATGAGAAACCTGCAGAGTTGGTTGACACTGAGCCATCAGTATAAACCAAACAGTAATTATGGAAATTTAATTCTATAAATTCATTGAAGATGTGATTGACAGAGAAAGAAGGCATATTGACTCTATCGCTATTATATTTGCAATCCTTAAAGAGTAGTAATATATGAACTCGAGAAATAAATGTGAGAGCTTCAAACGGGATATCAAAACAATGAAGACATTTTTGAGGTAAAATGACAGAGGAGGTGAAGTGGTTGATAGAAAAGGCAATGGAAGCTAAAATCGGGAGAGTTTTTGGAACGTATCGCCAACGAGTAGCCAGAGCTGAAAACTTATTAAAAATAGAATTGGGAGAGTTAGAAATGTGCTTTAATAAAAACTTTCCTGCAAGTCGACGTGACCGAATTTCTATAGGTGGACAACTACATTCCACTTCCAAGCAAATGTTTGGAGCAGATCGTACAGCACCGATTACTGTGCGGAGGCACGAAGTTAACATAGCATTCAGATTGTTGCGGTGTGAACGGGACGCGGATGAGAACAAAAAAGAACCGTAGTCAACTTTAGAACGGATAATAGATTTATATACTAATAATAGTGAAGATGGGTGCGCTCCCCACCAAGTGCCTGCTAACGCTCTGAGCAAATTAGACCATTTAGAAATTATGCATTTGAGATAGTTGAAATGCGGGACCCATCTGAGCTTTGGGTCAAGAATGAGCCCAAGGTATGTGATTGTATTGGATGGGACTATGGACTTATTGTTGATAATATATGTTTTACGTTGGGAAAACAATAAAAATAAAAAAAGAGAAAAAGGAAAAGCTATTTATAAAAAATATTTAAAACGGACTGTCAAAAAATTAAGGTTATGAAATGATTGAAAACATTTCTAATATTTTAAAACAAACAGACAATTCAATGGGCAATTTTGAAGACTTGTACTAAGTATTAGAAATTCTATCCAATAACCTCTGTTGATGTCTGTCAAGCTTTCATTTTCGTGGTACATTTATTAGCAAACCAATTGTGGTTCATTAATACTTGGAAATATTCGTACAATTTTAATCAAACAATGCAATTAATTTGGGCGAGATTTTAATAATTATTTAATCATGAATGCAATATGTACTTATAGTTGAAATTTTCGTTTTTGTTTTATTTAAAAGAAGCTTAAAGAAGAATAAATTAAAATTATAAATAATAATAATTAATCATAAATTAGTTTGTGTATTTTGGTATTTTAATGAAAAAATAAATTATTTTTAAGAGCATATTTTTAGAGAGCATGTATGATAAATTTTAAGGGAATAAATACATATATATTTTAAGGTTTTTTAGAGCATGAAGTTCCTAGCCCTAGTCATGAATTATGAGATATTTTCTGAACGTTATTCTGCAAATCGCATTATTATACATGTATATACGTCCACACACACACATAAACAACAAATAATTATTAAAAACAAAACACTTGCGAAAACGGTTTTTGTTTAAGCAAATAAATCGTTAGAACGTTACTGCTGTATATACAAGTTTCTTAAATAAGAGTAAAACTTTCAAACTTGTAATCTCCTGGAATCTGTTGGTTCAAATATTTATGTAACTTTCATGTTAAACTTTATATTATAATATGAATAAAATTCATAAAACACAGATATTACATTTTGTTTTATCTAGATATTCGATAAAAAAGACACAAGAACACTGCAAACAATCAGCCGAGATGATATAACTATTATTGTACATTTTTTTTTTTTTTTAATTACCTATACTAATATTTTAGTACCAATATTTAAGCTATGTTTTGATAGTTGTTCTCTACCTTGCGTTATATTAAGTTTCAATGCCGTTTATTCTATGCAGACTATTAAAACTGCATCTATAATTACTATTATCAGCCACATGTTCTAAAATAATAAAAATATAACATATTGGTATTTGGTTATTTAATTAATATTTATACGTATATATAAATAAATGTTTACGTACATGTCCGCATTTTATCGTTTTTATTTTTAAAAATTTTATTTTTTTAATAAATATACTAATTAGTTATGGACATGAAAACATATATACTCGTATATATGTAATATAACATTGACAATGACACAAACGTTATTTTGTCATATAAATTATTTTTCGAGAATATTTTGCTAGAAAAAAAATAACTAATTTCATATAGGTGTGTAAGGATGTGTTATATAAGTGGAAGAGGTATGGACTACTGTGAACGATGACGAAATATTAAAAAAGTAAAAACATCAAACATTTATTTTTTTAATAATTTATTAAAATTGATCCTTAAAAAAAAATTACATTGAATACAAGAAAATAGTATGTATTATATTGTAATAATTTGTAAATTAAAAAAAAAAAAATTATATTTTTTATCATATTATAATTTGTTAGTTAAAAGAAGTACTCGTATTAAAAAATTTTCATTTATAAGTTGAATTTTAATATTAAGGAATCTCGATTATGGACGAAATAATAAGTGTTATATTATTATTATATATATTGGGGGGGGGGCATAAATAAAATGCCCGGGGGAGCCAAATTTTTAAATACGGACTTGTCCATTATTAATTTATAATTATACATTATTATTAATTTTGCAATGTCCTTGACACGAAAAGATGAAAACGATAAATTATCAATTTTGTTTTTCAAATTTACCACCTATGCTCTCTAACATGCATAATTATTAATGTTATTAGTTTTACAAAGCTCATTATAAGAATTTCAAAGTTTCTAAGAGCTTTTAGAGCAACGAAAGACGTATACCAACATTAAATAACTGACGTAGACTGATTGTAAAATCGAACTGATGTTCAAAAGAACTGGTACCACGTGCAGGCGGGTACATAAAACAAAATTTGGGGGGGTTTTCAGGTTGTACATTTTTATACTTATATAATCTATAAACCTCTTTTAATCTATAAAAACATATGTTATAATTTTCTAGAAACGAGTGTTGAACCCCTAAAATCTCCTTTTGTGTACGTGACTAACTAACTTGGCTACGTGTTATATCGGTCTCAGACTACGGATTGTGATTTCGTTATTTAACGTTTCGCTCATCATCGACAAAAATTCGTTTAACCACGTTTTTCATTATTTAGTGTAACGTGATATCTCTAATCGATGGGATCCCCTACGTTTTTTATATTTAAAATTGAAACCAACTAAATAATTGATCCCGGATAAGTTAACGTTTTACTAATCGATTCAATAGCGTGCGAGTCCACTTAAAGTGTATAACATTATTTTTTTCCTTTATTCCCGGACTAAACATCTAAAAAGCCACATGTTAACGCATAGGTATTTTCTGATTTCCAGCGTCTATCGCATAAAAGTTGTGTATCGGTCGTGAACTCACGGTTAAATCATATTTATCTTTGTTCACGTAGTCGTGGACCCGTAATAAAATATTTAATGGAATATCGAACGAAAATATTTAATGCGATCGTATATTTTATTTTTTTATCCCGTGTATTAGAGTGTTGTATATGATTACACAGAGACAAGGTTACTTATGGACATTTCTTTTATTTTTATGTAATGGCCGACGATAAAACGAACGGAGATAATGAAACGTTATAAAATATCGACAACTGCTTACGGTTCAGACCGTACGGAATAAAATAACATTGTACCGCTGTTCGCGTCGTACGTAAAACACGTGCTCGTAAGTACTTTTAAATAATATCGAATATAATTTTTACACGATTCGATGGTGTAAGTAAGCCGACCGGTAGGTAACTAACTGTGTGTTTTATAGACGCGTAAATCACTGCGCGCGTGCGTCCGTAACGTTCCATACGGGTCAAAGAATTTCGACGTGCTCAATGTGTACCCACAGTAGTGCTCTGCACAGTACGTTATTTTAAGGACAAGAACGGACTTCAAACTTTACCAGGGGACCGTAGTTGGACCGGACTACACTTAAACGTTAATCAAAGACCAAAATTGGACCGAACCGACGGCTTCATATTATTTTTAGACCGGACCGGACCAGTAATTAAATAACATTTAATAAAGTAGACCGTGGATCGGACCGTCGGTCCGATCTTAAAAAAATTTGGACAGTTTAGTCCATTTAGTCCGTTAAGGTTTAGTTTTTATTAGCCCAGACCGTACCATATAATGTGCTTAGTATTACACTGGACCGGACTACCCAACTTTATAATATATACCTAAAGTTGTAGGTTTTTTTTCGTTTTGTTTTTTTGCATAACAATATCTATATTTAGATTTTAAGTACCACGATTGGAATCGGACTGAGACCGGATCGGACTGAAAATAATGCATTTGATCTGAGGACTGGACCGAACAACTCCTAAAAATTATTGAATCGGACCAAACCGACGATTCAATAGTTTTTGCATGTTAGAACCGTACTAAACCGGACCATGCAGAGCACTAGTGTACAGTGTACGCTCGCGTGAATCGTAAGTAAAAACAACACCGATCGAACGGACGGAAAAACAAATCGGTAGAACACCGTGAACACAACTTGTCGGTAAAATTCAACCAACGAGTACCGAGAAGCAGAGCCGTTCTAAGATGCTTCGGAGCCAGGAGTAAATCAATTTGGGGGCACTTCGACTATAATTATAAGTTATGGATAAACAAAATACTCGCTGAGAGTAACAAAATTCTTGTAAACGTATTTTTTCAAACCTTTACCAATCAAGCTCATTTAAATTCATACACCGCATTGCGGACTTACATAATAGAATTGAATTATTTATCGTAATAATCGTATTATTTACAATTTAATCGCTTATTGTATTCGGACAAGTCGGTACGCGCTCATACGCGCACGACTTTAATCGCCGACACGCAGCGTGTAAGATTGCTCAGTGTAGTCAAGGCTTTATTATACAACAAAACTTTATGGGGGCCCTTTAAAAAATATTCCAACAACGGGGCCTGGGGTAAAATGCCTCCCACCCCCATCTGAACGGCCCTGTCAGGAAAGGTACATATAATAAACTCGTCGACGGGCCTATGTAAGTTCTGTTACGACGTGGACGTGACAGATTTACAGTATCGTAGTATACTCGTAACCCTTGAATGTAAATGAAAGATTACTATGGTAAAGATATT